GGGGGGGGTGTCAACGGTTCGCACTGCGCACCCTTTGATTCAACACACGAGTCCCGAGGAACCGCGTTCTTCATTTAAACACTTCAAAACCCTAATAAACGCCTTAACCTTGGTAACGTTTGAAGGATCAAGAAGAATCTCATTTATTCTGGATCGCCTCTTTGTTTAGTTTTAGGCTTTAATTTATGATGAAGTCTGCACCTCATTAATATGCACAATAAACCCTTTACCTACACACGTGCTTCCCAAAGCATACTTGGACTCTTGCTCAGCAATAAAAGCTTTGCCCTTTAGGGTTGTGGCAGAATAGGGTTATGGTGCTAGCACCTTAAGGCTTGGCTATCTTTGTGCTTAAGTTTGACTAATTGTTTTCGTGGTGGTTTTATTTTGTCTAGGCACAACAAGACCGGACCGATAATGTGATGCTTAGAGCAGAAAATGATAGCCTGAAGAACGAGAATTACCGGCTACAGACGGCGCTGCGCAATGTTATATGCCCTAATTGTGGAGGACCATCTATGATTGCGGACATTGGCTTGGATGAACAACAACTTCGACTTGAGAATGCTCGACTCAGAGAAGAGGTACTAATAATTCAGCAATGCTGTAATTAATTGTCACAAAATTTGGAAATTTGGGTGATTTCTTTCTTTTCCTTTCTGGTGAACAGAACATTGGAGATTTCATTAGTCTGAATTCATTGCATATTTTTTTTTTTTTTTGCGTTAAATTCCAAATAAATTGAATTGTTGTTTTTGCCGTTTCTTTTGTGTGTGCATGGAAAGGAAATAGCATATTGCATCTGTTTAATATCATCATTGAGTAAGTAAATTTAAATCCTCAGAATTTATATTATGTAAACTCCTTAAAATAAGGTCTATTTGGAGAGAAGATTTTGGTCATAAAAAAAGCAATGGAATTCTTTGGATCTTGAAAAACAAAATCATTATTTAAACATGAATCTCTAGCTTTATTTGTGCATGCTTGAGTAGTTGAATTAGTAGCTGCTTAGGGGTGATTAAGACATTAATCTTTTTCACAGTTGGAACGAGTTTGTTGTCTGAGTTCACGATATACTACTGGCCGGCAAATCCAAACAATGGCACCTGGAGATCCTCTCATGTCAGCATCCAGCTTGGATTTGGATATGCACATCTATTCAAGGCATTTCCAAGACCCAATGACTTCTTGCGGGGACATGATCCCCATGCCTTTGTTGCCACCAGAAGTGCCTTCCCACTACAATGAGGGTGGTGTATTGTTAGATGAGGAAAAGTCTCTTGCGATGGAGCTTGCCGCTTCATCGGTGGATGAACTTGTTAAGATGTGCCAGGCTGGTGAGCCTCTTTGGATCCGGAACAGTGAAATTGGGAAGGAAGTGCTTAATGTTAAAGAATATACCCGGATGTTCCCAACGTGGCCTTTGAACCTCAAGCACCACTCAAGTGATCAGTTTAGGACAGAAGCTACTCGTGATAGTGCTGTTGTTATCATGAATAGCATCAATCTTGTAGATTGTTTTCTTGATGCTGTAAGTGCCTTGTTTTTAATTAAGAACTTTAGAAGTGGATATACTAATTAGTTGCCAAAGTACTAATATCTTTTACTTTCAGCTCTCTTAATCAACTATTAACAATCTTCTAACTTCTCTGGTTATCTGTTTTTTCAATTTTAACTTTACAGAATAAGTGGATGGAGCTGTTTCCTTCTGTTGTTTCTAGAGCCAAAACTGTTCAAGTTATTCAAGCAGACCCCTCTGGTCAAGCAAATGGTTCTCTTCAGCTGGTAGGTATCTCAAATTCACAAATGATGACAAATTTGATCAACAAAATGAGGCACAAATTCATAAGTTGTATTAGGAAATTAAATTTCTTTTATATACTAGGATGCTCAATCAATACCAAACGTTGGGTACTTGTTACTTTGTGCAGATGTATGCCGAATTACAAGTTCTTTCTCCTCTGGTGCCAACTAGAGAAGCACATTTTGTACGTTATTGTCAACAAAATGCGGAGGAGGGATGTTGGGCAATTGTAGATTTTCCCATAGATAGCTTCCATGACAACCTCCAGTCTTCGTTTCCCCGATACAAGAGATTGCCCTCCGGCTGCCTTATCCAAGACATGCCCAATGGATACTCAAAAGTGTGTTCTGCTGCTTTCACTCAATTTATGTACTTTGAGTTTTTCTATTTCCCTAATTATATATCTTGAAATATATTATACATGTATCTCTTATATTATTTTACTGGCTTTTGAACAGATTACATGGGTAGAACATGCAGAGATAGAGGAGAAGCCTGTCCACCAAATATTGAGCCACTATGTCTACAGTGGGATGGCTTTCGGGGCGCAACGCTGGCTTGCAATCTTACAAAGGCAGTGTGAAAGGGTTGCAAGTCTCATGGCCAGAAATATATCAGACCTTGGAGGTTAAATAAATAAATAATGTTCCTTATTATAATAAAGTGATGTTCATAGATTAATTAGAATGTATTATTCTTACATGTGATTTATATATATATATATGTAGTGATACCTTCCCCAGAAGCACGAAAGAATTTGATGAAACTGTCACAGAGAATGATAAGAACATTTTGTGTAAACATGAGCACCTCCAATGGGCAGTCATGGACGGCTCTATCTGATTCCCCAGACGACACTGTTAGAATAACCACAAGGAAGGTCACAGACCCTGGTCAACCCATTGGTGTTATTCTCAGTGCTGTGTCCACCACCTGGCTCCCATATTCTCACTACCGTGTCTTCGAACTCCTACGGGACGAACATCGCAGAGCTCAGGTATGGCGTTTGCTAGCTAGGTTAATTAATTTGCTTGCTGATTAGTATTATATGATGACCATCTTAATTGGTCATCCATATTGATGAACTCTACACGATTATTCTCAATCCTTAGAGGTGTAAGCATGATATATATTGTTAACTCATTCTCTGACACCTTAAACTTTTGGGGCTATTGTTTGTCTTGATATCAGAGCGTTTCTTTTCAAGTGGCCGTGAGTCTGGCTCTCTTTCCCACTTCTTTGTTGGTTTTGCACGATATAGGATGTAGGTTACACCTATATGTTTGTCTCTCTTTTCCTCTGGATCACCATACACTGAGAAAATTAATCTAAACAATAATTCAACTTCACAATTTGGCAAATGTATGTTATGCTGTGAAACATGTGACAGGAATATTTGGGTATATAAAGGCACAAAATTATGTTGTGGTTGCAACTGATTGTAAATGTGTGTAAATTTAGCAGCTTGATGTTCTTTCCAATGGGAATTCCTTGCACGAAGTGGCTCACATTGCCAATGGCTCTCATCCTGGCAATTGCATTTCTCTTCTTCGCATAAACGTAAGCATTCCCTTTGAAATTTCCTTTCACCCATTTATTTATTAAATTTCCATATCCTGCCAAAATAATACTTCATTCACATCTTTGAAATTTGATTCTGAATTCCAGGTAGCGAGCAACTCAGCACAGAACGTAGAGCTAATGCTACAAGAGAGCTGCACCGACGAGTCGGGCAGCCTTGTGGTGTACACAACCATGGACGTGGACGGCATCCAATTGGCAATGAGTGGGGAGGACCCTTCCTGCATTCCCCTCCTTCCTCTCGGCTTTGTCATTGTCCCACTGCACCCTATGGAATCTACCGGCCCAACACCCAATCACCTCACCTCATCATCGCCAGATCATCGTCAAGAAAACAGCACTGCCACCACCACCACGACCAGCAATGTTATCAACTCAGGTTGTCTGCTGACTGTGGGACTCCAAGTCCTTGCCAGCACAAGTCCTTCCGCAAAACTCAACCTCTCCAGCGTCACCGCAATTAACAACCATCTCTGCAACTCGGTGCAGCAGATTATCTCCGCTCTCAGTAGCGGCAGCGACACGTGCATTGCCGCTGCTACAACTGAGAATGGCAGCGTTGGCGGCCGCGCCCCTTGCTCCGACCCAACTGCTTCCAGCCCCAGGCAATAGCTTGGATGGCCGGGACATCCAGCTACGTGATAAATTACCCAAAAACCTGTCCTCTCTCCCAGCAGTCTGGCTTTTCTGTAATCATACTAAATTTAGGGTTTGTGTCCGGGAGTTGTTATTTCTACTGCAAACCAAAAAAAAAAAAATCATCCAGCATTCCTTTAACAGCTATTTACTGATTCAGTAAGTAGTAAGTGAACCATAAGGAATGCAGCATGATTTTTTATTTATTGTTAATTTGTTAAGTTTGTAATATCTTAGTAGTGGGAGGGGTAGGGATGTCAAAGGAAGTTAATAGGTGTGCCAGTGGTTTCTTGGTAAATAAAGGAAAGATGGCGGAGCTAGCTAGAGGAGCTGGTCTGGTAGCTGGTAGTTGGTAGTGGGTAGGTAAGTGAAGGTGGAGGGAGTTAAGAGGGAGTCAAGAGCGCACCACAGAAGAAGACCCTTTGGTTTTGCGGTGAGGTTCAGAAATTAAAGAGAATGGGCCTCACCAGTCTCTGCAAGGGGTGGTGGTTCGGGTATTGACTTCTCCTTGTCTTTTGCCTTTTTTTTTTGGACGAACTTGTGTGTTGGCTTTTGTGTTTATGACAAGGATTCAATGCTTCTGAATTTTTTCAATTACGAAAATTTGCATCTTCGGAATTTTTTTAATTACAAGCGATTGTAGATTAAAAGAACAAAAAGTGTACAAAAGAAAAAAAAAACTGCAAAGGGAGTCATCTTCTAGATTTATGGGGTGTATTCAATTGGGATTTTAAAACACTATTTGGGGATAAATAAGTTTTATGGTATTCAATTAAGACTTTTAAATCATCTAAACAAGTCTTATGGTATAGGGTTTAAATCACCTTAACCCTAAATTGTTTAAGAATGATTAACCCCTAGCTGTTGGAATGGAACCAAATGTCATGCGGGTGGCGCAAGGTGCTGGCCAAACAGCAAATGTAAATGGGGCCCAGCAATTTTTGGGCAGCACATGGTCTTCAAAGATAAAAAACAAAGCAGATTTTGGGCCCACAAAAAAATATCAGTCCATGCCATAGAGGGACTGGAATTCCACTCTAAATTTGAGATTTCTCAAATTTCCACCCCTCAAAATACATGGGTTGGAGAAGTTTTTTGGACTCAAAACTCATAATTTGGGTTTCCATCCCTTGGGTTGGAGATGGCCTAATAAAAAGTCTTATGGTATTCAAAAACTTGCAAATTTCGAAGGATTTTTTTAAATGTGAAATTGTGCGGGACTTTTTAGTAGGAGGTATAAATACTAAACCCTATCTCAAATCTCACCCTAAATACTTTTTCACGTGAGATTTTTTTTTTCTTCTGCTGGAGAAGATGAACAGACATGCAGCAGTGAGCTCTCTATAAACAAGGTAATTTCCTTCTTCCTTCACACTTTGCTAATCTTCTTACCTTGTTCGCATTGTTTATGATTAGTAAGCTAATCTTTCTTCTTCTTTTTTTCTTCAAATAATTGCTTTTGAAATCTTTTTATACCGTTTGATAATTGATTGAATATTACGAAGTTTCATGGTGGGAAAAGAAAAACAATCTAACCAGTAATTGAGTATACAGATATGAGAGTAACTAGAGAATTGATATAAGTTGCATAAGTTCGTAAAAGCTTCAATCTGAGTCCTCAATTCCTTTGTGTGCAAATAGAACTCCAACAAAGTTAATTGTCCTCTAGCATTTGAAATCTTCTATAGTATATATCAAATGTTGCCTTGTTACTGATGATAACAGTGACTCAAGACACAAATCTTCTTGCTTTATTTGAATTTTTCTTTTATTGCCAACAATTTTAGTCTTCTCGATATTGATGTCATGTCATTAAGCAAGGACTTCGGGAAGCAAAGAATACAAACAGTCGATATTTACTTGCTATCATTGCAATTTGTAAGTACAATCAATTACAAATTCATGGGTTTCTTTTTCTTTGTGCTTTTGCTGGTTTTTTTTTTATTTTTTATTTTTTATTTTTTTTTGGGTACCGTACTTTCGCTTGTTTGTTCTTTGTGCTTTTGAATTGGTTGCCGAACCATGAATAAATAAGTGCGATTTTTATATACAATTCTTCATTTGCTTTTGCTGTTTTTTTTAAGAGTGCAATTTTGGTTCATTGGACAAATTATTTATATTTCAGCCATGAATAAATTATGTTAAGTTTGACTAGTCTCACGTATTTTCTGAGTATTATATTCAGGTATTATATTCATTTATATTATTTTATAAAAAAAATTTCTCTTCATTACATTTTTTTTATTGCAATTTCATTTTATTACCCAAAAAAAAAAAAAACTTAAAATTAAATATAAATAAAATATATTTTATTTTTGCGCGACGAAACTCTTTTCGTCGCTCCAATTCACGTTTTTACAAAATAAAAAAACGTAAAACTAAATGTTAAAAAAATATATTTTATTTTTGCGCGACGAAAGCCTTCGTCTCGCGAAAAAGAAAAAGCGACTAAGACAATTTCGTCACACAACAGAAGTCATCGCGCAAATGTTTGCGACACGAACAGTTCTCTCGTCCCTACATTTCTACACGACGAATATAAACCGTTGCGCTGTGTACTCGCAACGAACGTGCTGTCGTCGCGCAAAGGTTTGAGAGACGAACAATTGTGTCGTCTCTAAACTTTTTGTGCAACGAAGGTTAACCGTCGCTCAGTTTTTCGCGACCAATTAAAAAACTTGGTCGCGCAAAGTCTTTCTTCACGATCTTTGCGCGACGAAGTTTCTGTCGCACTGAAATTTGTGTGACTCAAATGTACTTTGCGTGACCAAATGTTCTTCGTCGCGCAAATTGTAAAATGTAGTAGTGTTGGTTGTATTCGTAAGTTAACTAATAAATTTCTTATATATGTTGTAGTAATAATTTAAATGGGGGATTCACAACAAGGAAATAACAAAGGAAATGACAAAGTTTCTGAGAACTATGAATCTTGGACCATGGACGATACCAATAAGTTGTTGCACCTCTTGGTGGATGCTATCGATAGTGGATTGCGTGATGCTAGTGGGTCACTTAGCAAGCAAAATGTAGAAAGAGTGATACTTCCTCGTCTTAATGCGAAAATTAGGTTTCCAAAAACTTATAATCATTACTTGAGCCAAATGAAGTGGTTTAAAAAGCAATATAACAAGATGTCTACGCTTATGTGTAACAACTCTGGCTTTGGGTGGGACCCAATTGCAAAGACGTTCACTGCTAGTGATGAAGTTTGGAAAGATTACTTGAAGGTGAGCTTAGTTCATAATCTTTTAAATATATTAATAGCTTATAGCTTACTAGTTTAGTACAATATGTTATTTGCAATATATTAACAATGAATAATTTGTTCTTTGCTAGTCCCACCCAAGTCACAGAAAACTTCGGGAAAAAAAGTGTAGTTGATGGTGAGGATTTGAAGATTTTCATTGGGGGTGGAATTGTTACTGGGAATGGCTCCATTGCATTGGGCGCTGATGATACCGATGCAACAACTTATGGGGTTGAAAAAAATAGAGATTTCGGGATGGAAGACTTTTCATATGATCCTACTAATGATGCCTTCATAGCACCAAACTATGAACCATCCTACCAGCCTCCATCACTCGCAAATGTAGTCCACCATCTCATTCCCCTTTAGATTCAGAGGTTCCCACCCAAAAACCCAATTGTAATAAGCGAAGTAGATTCGAGTATGTAGGGAGTACTAGCTCAGTTGGGATCAACCAATCAAGCCAAAGTTCTAGACAATCTTTCTATTGGCATTCAGACTATTTCTGCCAACTTTGAAACAATATCTAACCTAATGATGAAGAGAGAGAGAGATAGAGATAGAGAGCAACGAAGTAATATTATTCATGGCTGAAATATAAATAATTTGTCCAATGAACCAAAATTGCACTCCACTAAAAAAAAACAGCAAAAGCAAATGAAGAATTATATATAAAAATAGCACTTACTTATTCATGGTTCGGCAACCAATTCAAAAGCACAAAGAACAACTCAACCAATTCAAAAGCACAAAGAACAAACCAGCAAAAGTACTGTACCCAAAAAAAAAACCCAGCAAAAGCACAAAGAAAAAGAAAACCCATGAATTTGTGATTGATTGTACTTACAAATTACAAAAGTAGGCTTCAGCAAGTAAATATCGGCTGCTTGTATTCTTTGCTTCCCGAAGTCTTTGCTTAATGACATGACATCAATATCGAGAAGATTAAAATTGTTTGCAATAAAATAAAAATTCAAATAAAGCAAGAAGATTTGTGTTTTGTGTCACTGTTATCATCAGTAACAAGGCAACATTTGATATATACCATAGGAGATTTCAAATGCTAGAGAACAATTAACTTTGTTGGAGTTCTATTTGCACACAAAGGAATTAAGGACTCAGATTGAAGCTGTTACAAACTTATGCAACTTATATCAATTCTCTAGTTACTCTCATATCTGTATACTCAATTACAGGTTAGCTTGTTTTTCTTTTCCCACCATGAAACTTCGTAATATTCAATCAATTATCAAACGGTATAGAAAGATTTCAAAAGCAATTATTTGAAGAATAAAGAAGATAAAGATTAGCTTACTAGTCATAAACAATACGAACAAGGTAAGAAGATTAGCAAAGTGTGAAGGAAGAAGGAAATTACCCTGTCTATAGAGACCTCACTGCTGCATGTCATCTTCTCCAGCAGAAAAAAAAAAGAAAAAAAAAATCTCACGGGAAAAAGTATGATGGGTTAAAATATTTCATAGTTAAAATATTCTTTTTGGCCATTTTAATAGTTTGGTTAGGGTAAATTAGTAATTCAATAAATAGTGTGGTTAAAATATACTCATTTAATTTTATGGTTCGTTTAACAACACCCTAATTTAAGGGTAATTATTATTTTACTACTATGAAGTTATCCAAGTTTCAGCCTTCCATACAACATGTTTTTTTTCGTCTCAGTCGCATATAAAATGTTTAATTTTGTATCAATTTAATACATTTGTTAATCAATTTGTCAATCCTTTCGTTAAAAAATTGACGTGGCAAAGTACGTCGACATGAACGCACACATATTGTGCCACTTGGAATAATAAAATAACAATAAAAAAAAATAATTAAAGTAAAGATAGAACAGAGGAACTCACAAATTAATTAAAAATAATAAAATAAATTTATAAATGATAAATCTTTCCTTTCTCTCTTTATAAAATGATAAGTCTTTCCTTAGCGGAATACAAAAGGTTATGAGAAGAAATTATCACCTTGAGGTTTATGAAAGGTGATACAGTTTACGAAATTATCACATTTTGTCATTTATATTTTTGTTCTTATATTATTGGTCCTTTTATGTTACACCTCACACATCAATTTTGTCCCTACCGTTAAGGTTCCATCAAAATTTCTGGTAAATTGATGATGTGGCATGTATATGATACCCACATATCCAATGAGATAATGCCACGTGGATCTAAATAAGCCACGTGGATCTAAATAAAAAATTATTTTAAAAAAATAATTTCACATTTAAAATCTAAAAAAAATATGTATTTTTCAAGTTGCAGCTTTGCTTCGTCTCACTCCCCCGCTACCCTCTCTCTCTCACTCCCTTTGTTCTCTCCCCCTGTGCTCTCCCTCTCGTCTCCCTCTGTTTTTTTCTTGCCCACAACTCGATCGCCCCCATCTCTACCTGCAACCTACGCCCAAACCCACCCTCTCTCTCTTTTTTCCTATGTGGACTGCTTCTAGCAATATCAAAATTTTCAAGAAAATATAAAGTTTTTGGATGGGTTTTAATTTTTGTATTTAAATCTCTTTGGTGTGATTGTTTTAATGGTTTTGGGCACGCAAGCTTTGGTTTGGTTGTTTCTTTACGCCATTCATAGTGCATTTTTGTTTGGCCGAGAGAGAGAGAGGTGTGGGGAATGGGGCCTCAAAGAGAGGTCTTGGGTTATGGGAGTGGTTTGTTGGATTACAAACTGTTATGTTTTCCTATTTGGATCGGTGCACTAGATGCTAAGTTATATCAGGTTTGGTAAAAGTTTAAATTAAGTCGTACCTTGAGGCCCAAAACCTTGTGAAGTAAGAAGGGGTTTTGAGGCCTATTAAGGGTTCTAATTATTTCCTTTTGTGCGTGAACCGATTTGGTGGGCTTGGAAGATAAGTCAAGTCGACCCTCGGTGATGAGTAGAGATGACTTGACCTAGCCTATATAAGCTTAAGGCCCTACTCTCATCAGACACGTTCTCTAAACCTATTCTCATCATAAAGAGAGAGCTGAAACAGATTCTGAGAGAGAGCAGAAGTCTTGAGCCATTCCTGTGCTTGCTAGGATTGCTGCTGCTACGGATTGGATGAGTTCAGAGGCTGTATACTCAAGGAAGATGGCTCCAGGTATGTCTTCATGTCTTTATACGTATTACATGTTTGTGTGAAAGATCTAGATTGTATAATAAAGAAATCTAACGGTTGGTATCAGAGCTTTTGGTTGTTCACACATATCTGTAATCGTTGTTTAAGCATGCCTACGATGTTTACATATATGTTTATGATTTATGAGTTCTTGGTTATGTTTAATTTTTGAAGATTGATTAAACATGTTTTCTGAAATATCAAGAGTTTTAAAGAATCTGGAAAAAATATGTTTTGATTCGTTTTTCATATTTTCAAAACTTTAAACGCGTTTTTGCCCTAGCAGATCACCTTAAAAGCCTACAAATGCCTATATATCACAGTGAAACTGTGAGTTGTGTAAGTTAGGTCATTCCCTATTCAGAAAGGTGTTTTGCGTCAAAAACGGACACCAAAAAACCCCTAAAACACTGTTTACGGTAGAAACACTATTCACTGCAATTTTAGGGTTTCTCTCTTAAACTGTGTTTGTTTGGTTATTTTCTGAGCTAGATAGGTTCGTGTCTTTGTTATGAGAATTAACAAATTTTTCATAACAAAACCAAACATAAATACTCAAACCCTAAAGAAATAACCAAAATTGCGTCATACCTAAATTACTTGATAAGTTTCTTCAACAAATAGAATCTATCCTGTAATTTGTTTATGATGGCACAAGATAACACGTAATTTGTGTAAGCTATAAGTAATCTCTTGCCACAAATGTGTGATACTTAATTAAGGAAGCTTGCATATGTTATTTGTTAGTTTTGTGAATAAAGTTAAATGAAAAAACTGTTTTCTCTTAACAAATTGAGAATCGGTTTCTTGTAAAGTAATTATGCTTTCTTTTGCAAATCCTTACAGCTTTGAACACTCCCTCAATCAATTTCTCGCAAATTGAAAGATTCACTGGATCAAACTTCAAAATATGGACGTTTGATTTTCTAGTTATTCTCGGAATGAATGAGATCATTTATGATCTCACTCATAATTATATTTAATTTAAGTTAGCCATTTCGCTTATGTATCTTGTAGTACAACTCCTAGAGCTTAAGGAAAAAGAAAATCATCTGGCGGTTAATAGGCGCCACTCGTGTCAACTAATCACGAATGGAATTCTAGTAAAGAATATAGTGGAGCTAATTAAGAAGCGAAACGAAGATGAGTTGGAGCGAAAAGGGTTAAGGCGTAGCGACATCGTCGACCTTATGGAGGACCCATAAAGATATACATGGCTGCAAAGGACAGTCTCAGAAGTCTCAGGATCGCTGTAAAGCTTGGTGTATGCGCTTATGGGAGATGACGAAACATCAATAAGCTACTTCGATACAAGAATCTCCTAGTGCAGTCTGTGAAACCTATGCCCCAACGTGAATCACCTGTTGAGATTTTTGACACCACCACTAATAGAGAGATAGTGGTACTTGACCCGTTCCCTACTAGGGAGAACAACACTTTCATGGCAGCACGCTATGACAAGGAGGATTAGATAGTTTCCTGTTGTTTTCATTAAATATTATTGGAGTAGTTGATTTTAAGTTGGATTCAGGATTTATTTTAGAGTTGGATGATGTAGTTTCAGTACCCTAAATAAAGAGAAATTTAATTTCCGTTTCAAGATTATTAAGACTTGGTTTTATTTTGGATTCAATAAAAATGTTTTTGTATCTCAGAATTCAGGGACAATAAAGATGGATTATATTGTCTCAATTACAATAAAGATGGTGAAATTTTAATAGCTGAATCGAGTGAGAAAAAGATTAGAAGTGAAGGAACATACACTAGGTTATGGCATAGAAGTTTAGGGCACTTTTCAAAAGAAAGAATGAAAATTCTTGTTAAGGAACAAATCTTGCCATCACTGACTTTTGGTGATGACAAAATTTGTATTGAATGTGTTAAAGGAAAGCTCATTAAGACTAAGAAGAAAGGTGCAACTCGTAGTAATGATCTCTTAGAAATCATCCACACAGATATTTGTGGACCGTTCCCTCATCAAACAATTGATGGAAATCGTTATTTCATCACCTTTATAGATGACCATTCTCGTTTTGGTTATTTGTATCTCATAGGAGAAAAGTCTCAAGTTTTTGAAATGTTTAAGATTTTCTACACTGAAGTAGAAAGGCAGCTTGAGAAAAAGATAAAGATTGTGAGGTTAGACAAAGGGGGTGAATATTATGGACGTTTTGATGAAGGAGGACGACGTGCTGGACCTTTTGTAAGGTATTTACAAGATAATGGAATAGTTGCTCAGTACACAACGCCCGGAACTCCGCAACAGAATGATGTAGCTGAGAGAAGAAATCGAACCTTGAAGGATATGGTTCGCAGCATGATTTCGAAAACTGATTTGCTTAAAAGTCTATGGGGAGAAGCGATCAAAACAGCAAACTACATACTTAATAGAGTGCCTAGTAAGTCTGTGCCTAAGACACCTTTCGAAATTTGGACTACTAGAAAGCCTAGCCTGAGACATCTTCATGTATGGGGTTGAAAGGCTGAAGTTAGGATCTATAACCCTTAAGAGAAGAAGCTTGATCCTAAAACGATTAGCTGTCATTTTATAGGTTATCCCGCAAGATCAAAGAGTTTTAGATTTTATTGTCCAAATTGTGGTACCCGAATTGTTGAGACTGGTTGTGCAAAGTTTATAGAGCATGAGGAGAATGCCACTAGGAATGAAGATTTTATTTTTGAAGAAGAAGGTGATGTAGCTGTGATTGAGAATGCTGAATAAGATGTTACACTCTTGTTTCCTTTAAGTGAAACTGTTTTGGAAAATCCTTCGTTTGAAGAACCAGTTGATCCACAAGAACAAGCTATACAAAATCTTGATTTGCAAAGGAGGGAAAAGAGCATATGGTTTGCAAACTTGGCAAGGCAATTTATGGACTAAAGCAAGCAAGCAGGAGGTGGTATTTCAAATTTCATCAAACTGTTTCATCTAATGGTTTTGAAGAGAACATAGCTGATCAATGCATTTATCTGAAGAAGTGTGGGAGCTGATTTATTTTTCTAGTGTTGTATGTCGACGATATACTTTTGGCTACAAATGACCACAATTTACAGAAAGACACTAAGGAGCTACTTTCAAACAATTTTGAGATGAAGAATTTGGGAGAAGCTGCCTTTTGTGTTAGGCATTGAAATTCAAAGAGACCGAGCTCGAGGCCTTCTAGGCTTATCACAGAAAACATACATTGAGAGGGTACTCAAGCGTTTTGACATGAGTATGTGATCTGGACATAAAGTTCCGTTAGCTAAAGGAGATTTAAAGAAGGAGCATTGCCCTAAGAATAAAGAGGAAGAAGATGAGATGAGGAACAAGCCATACGCTTCTCTAGTTGGAAGCATTATGTATGCACAAGTGTGTACAAGGCCAGACCTAGTCTTGTGCATTAGCAAGATGGGGAGATTTCAGTCAAATCCGGGAATGCAACATTGGATAGCTAGGAAGAAGATTTTGAGGTACCTATAGAGAACAAAGGCCTATATGTTGATTTACAGACGCACAGAGAATTTAGAGCTTGTTGGTTATGCTGATGCGAATCTTGGAAAAGCAGAGGATGATTACATCTCTATTTTAGGTTTTCTTTTCAAGATGGCAGGAGCAGCTGTTGCTTGGAAGAGTGCTAAACAAACTGGTGTTTCGAGTTCAACCATGTTTTCAGAATACATATCTTGCTATGAAGCCACTTCTCATGCAGTATGGCTAAGGAATTTTATTAAAGACATTAAGGTGGTGGACTCGATCTCTAGACCAATACAGATATATAATGACAACACTGCGGCTGTTTTTCACTGCATGAACAACAAGATGTTGTCTGGATTGAGATGGAGTTTGGTGGAGAGAGAGAGAGAGAGAGAGAGAGAGAGAGAGAGGGCAACAGGCGAGAGAGGGAGCAGAGGCTGGAGAAAGAGGGAGCATAGGGACCTACAACTTTTTTTAAAAAAACAAAACCATTTTTTTTTTCAGATTTTAAATGTGAAACTATTTTTAAAAATATTTTTTTTATTTAGATCCACGTGACATTATCTCATTGGATATGCGGGCACCACATACATGCCACATTATCAATTTAACAGAAATTTTGACGGAACCTAATAGCAGTACCAAATTGATGTGTGATGTGCAACATAAAGGACCAATAACAGAGTCTCCCCTGAAAAATGCTCAAACCAACAAATTTTCACATGTAAACAAAGTCACAAATTAAAATTCCCCAAATGTTCAGCACGCACAAGTTAAGTTCACATACAAAATAGCTATTTCGGTTGACTTCAAGCCTTACAGGGATTCTGGACTATATTAGAGCATAACTATTTCAGTTAAGTTTACAGTCAGAAAATTATTTACAACAAAGTAAACGCCTACACGAGAGAGAAGAAGGAAAAGTGGTTGATGGTGGAAGGCCCTCAAGTGGTTGTCTGGTACTCGTCTACTGCCTGGAAGGAGGCGCAAAACAAAGAAAGTGTGAGTAGACAAAAAATTAAGTGTTAAACATAGTAAGAACATGTTAACCCCACCATTTAAAAACTATTGGCAAACCAGTTATAATTTATGCTATGTTCGTACAAGCAAATAAGATTCATACATAAGCATAATATATCAAACAAAGGACAAATCACTAATTTCAAAATAAAATAATTTCTCAAACTGTAAATACTTTCCACCCAGATGTATCCCATAGAAAATCCGTCAATTCCAACAGTGTACCATCAATTCCAGGTATCACACATGTGGCCACATGTGTGATACATCCTGAGACGCATTCCTCGCAGCACACGGCTCTGACATCCCTGAGACTCTTGGCGCATGGTCATACGTGCACAGACTTATCCAAAGATAACCAAATCGTCCGAAGACAAACCATTTCCTGAAAGCAACTGAGATGTCCGAGGACATCATAAAATCCGAAGGCAACCAAAGGATAACTAGGTGGTTTTGAAAACTTTTCCAAAACTTTTCTCAAATCCAGTTCTCAAATCATTCTCAATTTCTTGAACTAATCTCACTTATCAATAATAATAATAATATAACCTTTTCTTAACCAAAATCAAATGTTCGGAAAGTAAATACCATAAATAATCTGTTCATAAAGCGTTTCATAAAACCATCATAGTATGAAAAATCATTATAAAATAAATGTCCACTCATTGTGAGTCCAAGCTTGCTTGACCCTTTGAAGGTCCCTCTGATTGAGCACGTGAAGTCTGAGTGCCTAAGGAAAGAATATAAACTTTGGTTAATAAAAAATTTCGCCTCAAACCCTTAATCAAAAACCCAATTCCCGGAATTTACAAAGTGTGTGCACAACCTTGAAAGTTTGTTACAGATTCAACCAAACCCCTTTAACAAGTCCCAAGAGTTTCATTAAGTTTTGACAGTCCGACTGTATCGAACCCAAAAATATTCAATAGGCAAATTTTAGTATACTACTCAATTGATCGAATTTAGCTTATCTGAGCATACCGTGGTTAATTTTAGGGTGATAATAGTTTTTCGACACCTGGTTGACGCGCCACCAGGTGCTACCGCCAACGGTGGGTGCCATGAGAGATTTCCAGCAACTGAAAAATCTCCAAACCACCAGTTCTAGCACAATTTAAGGAGTGTTTTTAGTTCTTGGACCCTAGCCAAATAGTGGTTGGATTGGCATGAAACATGGCCAAAAGCGCAGGCCAAAATGGGTCTCCAAATCAATCCTTCAAATCACAAAATCAACCCAAACCAACTACAAAAATAGGTAGATCGTGGAACAAGGATGAAAATCCATACCTTATTCGACAAAATCAGTCGTTGGCGTCAGGTGGAGGTTATTGAGTTTGTTTCAGTCCAAAATCCGACTATTCTTCGGGTTTTTGAGTTCGATTGAGGGATGGGTTAGGTAGAGGAGACTTAGACAAAGCTTTTGTGGGTGGTGGCGTCGCTTGGAACGACCGGACGGCGACAAAATTCACCAGAGAATACGAACAGCAAATAGTGACTGTCGAGAAGAAGAGTCGCGAGAGAGGAAGAATCGGAAGGGAGGAGAGAGAAATGAGGGAAGGAAAGAAAAAATCTGACTTTTTAACACTTAATTTGCAAAAATTACGATCATGCACTTACACTTCTTTTGATCGTAACTTTCTCATTTTAACTCTGATTTGGGGCCACTACGTGTCTATGAATTCGTGAGCTCATGCATTACGTAATGGAGCCAAGAAATTTTTCCAAACCCTCCAAGAGCAAAAGTCAACCCTAAACCACTAGCATCATGACAGGTCTAGTATATTAGCCCTACTTGTTGCAAGTAAAATTGGATGAGCCTTGGCATGTGCCTTTCCATTTTTTGGGAGGTGGACCGAACCCGGCATCACTGATGCTAGAAGATTCCGGCCAAACTCCAGAGTCAATCACCCCAACAATGATATCGCTTTCAACTGTGCTTCTCTTCACATTTTCATGAAACCCGATGAAGTTCCATGACCTTGTTGTGTGGAGCTTCTGCTTCCCACTAGGGAAAACAGACACAACACCAGCCATTCCTATATATATATATATATATATATATATGCACA